ATACCAAGTGTATCAAAGTCTCAAATTATTCGTAAAAAAATGCTTTTTCCAAATATGTTAATGGGCCACCCTCATTCCATTTGAAAAAATTTAGATATGATTAAAAATGCGATTTGGGCATCTTTGAACCGACCAGGACAAGACACTAAAAATATTAGACGATCAAATCTATTTTTCCTTGATTAAAAATTAGTTTTTTTAATACAGCCATAGCACTCTAGATTGAAATTTAAAATATAATTTTGTTTTAAGCGAAAATGTCAAAAGTTGACATATGATATATCATTCGATTCAGAGTGTGATTTTCTATCGAATAAAGTAAAAAAATACCGAGGGAGCTATTTAAAAATCAAAAGTTGAAGTAATTTCCGGTGACACATTAAGTGACCGAAAACAATTGAATACGTCAATCGATCCTAATTTTTGTCATATACTAACATACCAAATCTCGTTTTTTATCTAAAAAAATAAAAAAGTTATAGGGGTGACCCACTTTTGAGACGCACCCGGTATAAAATAATTCCAATTTCAAATTAAATAAAATAACATGCGCATTCTAGATATGGTCTAAAAACAAGACTCAACTTTCGTTTAGATGAAATCAGTTATAAGAATTTTTTTATCTATTTAGTATTTGGAAGCCATTTCGAATAGTATGTTACAAAATATTTTCTGTGGAAATGCATCCTTTTCGAGTTTTTCGACTTTAAAGTAGCTGAAATCAGAACTATTCTAAAGTCGGAAAAAAGATAATGATGCATTTCTGAAGATAAATTTTAATGATTTTGTGTTTGGGGAGGCTGCGGTTCTATATTGTCTTGGTTTTGGTCTTGCATTTGCTTATCACTACTATTCGGACATTATATAAATAGACAAATATTACCAGCAATGTTAGTAGAAATACCATCAAAATAATCGACATGGTTATAGCTGGTACACGCGCAAGCTAGTCTATAGGTACTAGCCAAAGCAAACACTAACCCTAACATATACATACATATATTCTCAAAACTATTATACTTAATCCTTATCTAATAGATGCCCACCCTGCCATCAATTAGTTCCACTACCCTCCCGACAGATAACGCTACCGTTTGCATCTTCTCCCTCGAGAGCCTCGAGGCCTTGTTAACGCCGAACAGAGGGTGGTGGCAAGTGAGCCAAAGGGTCCGATACGTCGCGATCGTTTGAAGATGATAAGGTTAATAATGGCCCATTAGCCAGATTGCCAGATAAAATTAGTCCCATTCGTAGTTTGTTTGATATTGTCAATTAGGATGATTCGTTTTTCCGCGATGCTTCTGTTCGGCGGTGAAAACGCTGAGACAGATCAAAAGGGGAGTTTAAGTTTTTGTTTTCTGATAACAGGGGATGGAGATTTTAAGTCTTTTCTTTGTGTACAAAGCTTACTGTGAAAGGTGGTTGAAGTATAAGTAACAAGTTTAAAGATTAAATGAAACAAAAAGCCCACACGGAAGAAACAAAAAAAGATTTATTTTGAATATTACCCCATCTATAACCAGAGCTGCAACAAGTCAGTTTTAAAAAGACTTAAGTCTTAAGTCTTTTCTAAATCCAAAATGATTTAAGTCTTAAGTCTTTGACTTAAATCATTTTATTTCAAGTCAAGTCATTTTTGTAAAGACTTAAATTAATACCGGGGCGTCTCAAAAGTGGCTCACCCTTATAACTTTTTTAATTTTTCAGTTAAAAAACGAGATTTGGTATGTTAGTATATGATATCAATTAGGATTGATTCACGCATTCAATTGTTTTTGGTCACTTCCTGTTTCACCGGAAATGACTAGAACTTTTGATTTTTAAATGACACCCTCGTTATTTTTTTACTTTATTCTATAGAAAATAACACTCTGAATAGAATGACATATCATATATGTCGATTTTTGACATTTTCACATATGGTTTATTTGAAATTATAACATGCGGTTCGTAACGAAAATTTGACTCGAAATACCCAGTGTCTGGTATCAAAATATTGGTAAAAAAATGCCTTTTCCAAAGATGCTAATGAGCCACCCTCGTTCCATTTGAAAAAAATGCGATATGATTAAAAATACGATTTGAGCATTGTTTAACTGGTCAGGAAAAGACACTAAAAACATTAGACGATCAAATCTACTTTTCCAAGGCTCCTTGATTAAGAATTAGTGTTTTTACATAACCATGGCACTCTAGATTGAATTTTAAAATACGATTTTTTATTAAGCGAAAATGTCAAAAGTTGGCATATGATATGTCATTCTATTCAGAATGTCATTTTCTATCGAATAAAGTAGCGATGGGAACTATCGAATGAATTAGACTATCGAATGGTTACTGAATGAATGATTTCAACTATCGAATGGTTTCATTCGAATAAAATCATTCATTCATTTGTATACTAAAGCATATGTGACAACCTCGCCATGCGACTAAATGGTTATCGTTAGCCACGACTATCGAATGCTTTTGATAAATGAAATTTAGTATTCGTTTGATTTTTGTCTGCGTCAGTGCATTATTAGTTCTTCCAAATTTTTATAACTTGCCTTCTAAATACTGTGCTATTTTTGCGTTTATTAAAATATTTAAAATACTAAAGTAGTAGTGTTTTTTTTTAAATTGACGATTGTGTACGTGTGCAGGTGGTCAAAATTTTTCCGAAAATTTGTGTGATTTTTCGATCATTCAATTATTTAATTTTATACGGTACATGGTCTATTTTTTTAATGGGAAATTTTGAGAAGTAACAATTTTTAAGAGAGAGGAGGTGAACTTAAATTAATTTTAAAAATACATATGTATTTGTATTTTAGATGTTTTAGTAATATGAATCAGTTGAACTTAATAATCATATATAAGTAATGTGGTAATGTGGTTAAGTAAATTGTTATCAAACTCAAATTTTGGGATGAGAAAATTAAATTGATTGATTAAAGTTTTACACGTGCCAATTTAAAAAAAAAAGTTAACGATATTTGTATTTTGTTTATGCTAATTCTCTTACATGTAGATTTTTGCGAAGAAATATTTCATTTATTTTTTAAAATAAATGCCAGTAAAAGCAAATATTATTTTTAAATACTAATTAAAAAAAACATTAAAACTCATTTTCCTACATCCAAAATAAAAAGTATTATTGCAGTGTAACAACAGAATATAAATAAAAAAATGCAAAATATATAGTCATACTATTCCTAACTAACTATAATACCAAAGAATAATATTCTTCGCTAATACCAACTAATACGAATATACGGCAACAGCGCTGTTCATAATGTATTTGCTGTGTAAATACTAGCACCTCAATAAAAAAATAATGTGTCCTTATCTTTATCTGACTCAAAATCAAAGATGCCGGCTTTTTTCATACCATTGCCACCGACCGCCGACCGCTGTCGGGTTTCTAGGAAAGAAACCTACGTCGCCGGGCGACAACTAAAATCCAGTTTATATTTTATTATAATCGATCCTGACGAATAAATGAATTTTACAAATGAATGAATTTTATAAATGAATGGTTTTTGTTGCCGAATTAATATATTTCAAGGCAGATGAACTACTAGCTATCGAATTATTCGAATGAATTGCAACTATCGAATGTTTCGATAGTATTCATTCGATAGTTCCCACTACTAGAATAAAGTAAAAAAAAACAAAGTGAGAAAATACAACTGTCATGGATCCTCTAGTTGGAAGGACTATACCATCAGTTATTTTAGCTTTTATCACGATAATCGGCTGCTATTGATTACAAATTACAAAACTTTTTTTTCAATTGGTATACCGGGTGCGTCTCAAAAGTGGCTCACCCCTATAACTTTTTTATTTTTTCAGGTAAAACAACGAGGTTTGATATATTAGTATATGACATAAATTAGGATTGATTGACTTATTCAATTGTTTTTGGTCACTTCCTGTTTCACCGGAAATGACTACAACTTTTTATTTTTAAATGGCACCCTGGATATTTTTTTACTTTATTCGATAGAAAATGACATTCTAAATTGAATGACATATCATATGTCAATTTTTGACATAGTAAATCAAAAACAAATTATATTTTAAATTTCAATCTAGAGTGCCATGGCTGTTTTAAAAACACTAATTTTTAATCAAGGAGCCTTGGAAAAATAGATTTCATCGTCTAATGTTTTTAGTGTCTTGTCCTGGCTGGTTAAAAGATGCCCATATCGTATTTTTAATCATATTTCATTTTTTTCAAATGGAACGAGGGTGGCTCATTAGCATATTTGGAAAAAGAATTTTTTTACGAATAATTTGATACCACCCACTTGGTATTTTGAGTCAAATTGTCGTTATGAAACGCATGTTACAATTTCAAATAAACCATATGCGAAAATGTCATATACGTACGATATGTCATTCGATTCAGAGTGTAATTTTCTATCGAATAAAGTAAAAAAATACCGAGGGTACCATTTAAAAATCAAAAGTTGTAGCCATTTCCGGTGAAACCGGAACTGGCCGAAAACGATTGAATACATCAATTAATCCCAATTTATGTTATAATATACTAACATACCAAATCTCGTTGTTTTATCTGAAAAAATAAAAAAGTTATAGGGGGTGAGTCACTTCTGAGATGCACCCGGTATATTAAATTTTAACATTCAATTTAAATATTGACATTCGATCATATATCGTATGATCGAAAAAAAAAACGGCATTCAGATGCCATAGACGTGACAATCGATGAAATCCCCTCCATATAATTTAACATATAAAATTTCATTTCAAAAGCAAATTTTGACAGTGATCAACGTCCGTCATAAAATTATAACCCTACATCCAACGACAATGACAATAATTACAAAAAACAATGCTCCATAATTTACGAAATTCCGTTATGACGTCATCAATCTGTTTCATCTGGTTGTCAATATATCATAAAATATCTTTACTGAATTAAACTTTTGGTGATATGAAAATACTATTTAATTGTGTTAAAGTTTTACCATGTTTAAATTCTATTACAGATGCAGCCCGGACAACGAAATCTCCTTCGCAGGCTTTGGAAGTACTTGCGGTGGAAACTCCGGAAGTACTATGGCCTACAAATCAGCTTTATACCCTATGCCTAGCCTCGGCCTACACGGGCTACCCGTGGATTCGTTACATCCTTCCATGGCGGCCTATCCAGGGGGCATGGGTAAGCTTTATTTCGATTTTCAATATAGTAGGTACCACTGTAAAATTTAATATAATGTATAATAGAACTTCTATAATAGTATACGAAACAAAAATCAAGATTAAAGTCTGCCTGCTGATGCCCAAATTCACAAAATCTCTTAGTTTGTAGGCTCCTATTTGATTAATTAAATTTTTATATTCTGTTAATTTAAACAATAAGTTAGGTATTTTTCCGAATTAGGCTAGTAAGAGGGGTGTCACACTGTTGGAATTACATGTATATATTCTTGGCAGTCGCTGGCCGTCATTGGTATCAGTCGACTATAATTACATAGCAGACATTGGAAGTCTTGTTTGTAGTCATGGGCAGTCGCTTGGCCGTAAAATTATATTTTGGCAGTGCACGTTACACGTTCATTTTTTACTCAAGTGAAACTACTACGGTTTTGAAGGACATATTTGAAAAAGTGTAGTTTGAAATTTTGAAAAAGTAATAAATTAAAAATTAATAAATAATTTGATTCACTTTCATAAAGAAAATGTATTAAAACCACCGTCTGTCCGCCTGAGGACTCCATTCGGGTACCTCTATCTACGTGCTGAATTTGTTTCCAATCAACCCATAATTAAGAAAAACCCTGATAATTTCGTCGATTTAGAGGCATCGAAACGTCGAGGGCGTCATCCTGTAGCCCATCCCCAATTATGCCGAAATCGACCCACATTTTTTTTAATATCAAATCCTTAGTCCTACCCTGATGATGAAGTAAACTGAAAATATTCTATTTCTTTATTTGCCTCGATATGAAAAAAAAGAACAACAATGACTATCACATTTTTGAGACCCAGTAACCTTAAAACAATGCAATCTATATCGTTTAAATATTGACATTGTGTAGTGATTGTGGGTGGGCCTTTACGCCATCCATCATTCGATAATGATTGAAACAAAAGGAGGCGACATTAGGAAGTCTGTTGAACAGAAAAACTAATCAGATTTGGTGTCTGACTATATAGGCATGGCTAGAAATCCTGTTCGGAGGATTAACATTCGAAATAAAGATTGATTTAAATTCCGAAGGGGATAACTGAATAAAATTAAGTTGAACTACCGTAATTTTCATTAGTTCCTCATGTATTTATTTTACATATGTTTTTATTTTACTTTATCCACACCATTCGTCAGCTAAAGCCAATTAAAAAAATAAGTTGTACATCATACAAAATAAACAGTATATTATGGCTCACCAATGAACATTCATAAGCCCAGAACCCTTCTGCATGCGGCGCTGAAAAAAACAGTTACAAGAATGACAACAAAACACATATCTAGATCAGTGGAGAAATTCACCAGGGCAGAGACAGGTAAAAAACTTTATAGTAGGACATGTGCCAAAATTTACAGACCTGATAAACAAAGATAGGAAGAGCATCTAAGCTGTAGTAGGTCTACTAACAGAGCATTGTAAGCCTAATAAGCATATAAAGCTAATGAAATTTGTGCAGATTTTGTCAAACTGTACGACAGCTTATGTATTAGACAATGAAATATCCTAAGAGCTATATGGAGAGTTCACTCTCCCAGTTATAAGACTTTTTGAAAAGGATAGAACTAAAGAATATAACCTAGAGATCAAAAGAGGACTACAATAGATTTGAAAAGGTCGCAGTGGAACAGGCCTATAGTTACCTCAAAAGAATCTGATTAAGTATTATAAAAACACAATTTTTTATTAATACTGAACCAGAAAACAGAAACAAATATTTAAAAGGGCAGACATTTTTATAGAAAAGAGCACACAGTAGTACCTATATCGTTCTTCTCTTGTAATTTTTTCTATCTTGGTTGAACATGATCCGTCAAAATAGTTAAAAGTAACAGAGTAAAAAAATTGTGTGTGCACTATGTGTGCATATTTGAAGTGAAACTTCTTACTTCCGTCTGCCCGTCTCAGAACTCCATTCGGGAACCTTTATCCACGTACCGAGTTTGGTTCCAATCGACTCATAATTAAGAAAAATCCTGATGGTTTCGTCCATTTAGAGGCATATCGGTTCGAAATGTCGAGGGCGTCATCCTGTAGCCCGTCCCCAATTATGCTGAAATCGACCCACACTTTTCTTCAATACCAAATCCTTAGTCCCAACCTGATAAAGATATAAACAAAACGTCGTATCCAACTTTGCAGGGTGGGACCTTGTACACCGTCCGTCGTTCACATCCGACCCACCAAATTGGTACGTGATCGGACGACATCAAATTTTGACGTTTCTTACATTAAAACTAATTGTCACAGTGATACGTGTCCATGGTGTGATGTACACGGTAAAGTTGGCCTAGGTCCAATCTATCGACATACCAAATTTCATTTAAATCGGACGATTTTTTGATTTGATTCATTGATGATAGGGTTTCGTAGTGCACGAAACGTCGTCAAAATACCATGAAAAGATGGGGCCTGTAGAGAGGGGGAAATGGGGCTTTATTCCGAGTCTCAGCCCCCTAGCTCACATAGGGCCAGAGTTACGATGCTCCAAGATCAAAAATTCAACGTTATCACTTTTCCTGTCGCGTCTAGTGTGTCACGGCTTTAAGTTTTTACTCCCATCGCTCGTAAAGAAGTTTCATTTCAAAAATATTTATATGGATAATTAATGGCCCGTACGAATAAAAAGAAAGCAAATGCTCATGAGTATGAGCAAACGCTCCAAGCAAGAGCTTAGAGTAACAGGTCAGAGTATAAGCATCTACTCGAGTTGAAATGAATAATTATTGGCTTATACTCAAGAGCATTTGCTTCAATAAAATGAGCATTTGCGTCTGGTCATTTCTGTCGAAACTTGCAAAAATTAACGTACACTCGAGTTGCACGCTGTAGAAACCCATCTTCATCTTCTACTTCGTAGTCACCACGGTTATGATAATTGTCGTCTGGTTCTGCATTATATTCAAAATCAGCATCTTCCAAGTATTTGGAAATATTGTGAAGCAAGATACAACAAATAATGACGGATGGAACTTTTTCTAATTTAACTCGACACATGTATTTCAAAACTGAAAACCTGCGCTTAAGTTGGCCAAAACACCTTTCAATTATAACCCTTTCTTTCTTAAACAGTCTGTTCTAAGCACTTTCCAATGCGTTATTAGGGTTTCTAAACGGAGTCATTAGCCACGGTTCTAAGCCATAACCTTCATCACCCAGTAGTACTGCACCAGGAAACTGTTGCATAGTTACACGTACATCGTAGTTCCTCCAAATTGTTCCGTCGTGTACAGAACCCGGCCAACTAACATCAGCACTAGTAAACATTTCCACTGAGTTACATGTGGCCTGCACATTTAAAGTCGCCAATCCCTTTCTGTTGATGTATTCATCACCGTGTTGATTCGGTTTCAAAATCTGAACCTGCTTGCAATCAATCACTCCAATAGCACTTGGAAACTGAAATTTTTCTTGCCACGCTTGCTGTACTTCGTTTATTTTAGGTCGGGTTGACGGAAATTTGATCCATAAATGGGACTTTTCAACTAATTTGTTCATTACAAATAAAATTGTTTTTGAAACAGTCGACTGAGTGATTTCCAATTCTTCTGCTACACCCATCTGATATCCAGGATTGGCCATATATCGCAAGAAAACCTTCATTTTATGATTTGAAGAAAGAGCGCCTGCTCTTCTTTCAAGATTTTCTCCCAAAAAGTACGTTGCCATCCAATTTACATTTTCTTCTTGAAATCTGTATAGAGATTTAAAATCTCGCCAATTAGCTTTTCTTCGCACTTTGTATTGCTTCTGTGCACGTAAATTCACGAATTCTGCCATTTTATGACCAGCTTATTGCAAGGTGCATCTCCTACTAACCAGAATCAAAAATTTTGGAGCAAATGCTCAACTAAGTAAGCAAAGCATACATTTTATTCAGAACAAGTTGAGCAAATACTTAAACGTGAGTAGATGCTCATGCTTCATATAATACTAGTTTGAGCAAAACCTTTTACTTACATTTTTATTCATAAACGTAATAGAAGGTTTTGCTCATTTTTATTCATACGGGCCAATATTGCAACTTGAATATACCTATTTTAAACTTTAAAATATGTTCAAGTAAGTAGTATCCTTTTAAATTTTTGTTGTGTTTGTATCCAAGACAGCAAAATTGTGTTTTATGGCAAAAATTCTCTTTATGCTCTGTTATATTCATCTTAAATAAATTGGTTATTAGTCGATCATTTGAATTATTACAAATATTATCTTTTAGGTAATCAAAGGAAGCAAAGAAGGGAACGAACGACGTTTACAAGAGCTCAACTAGATGTTCTGGAGACACTGTTTACCAAGACGAGGTATCCAGACATTTTCATGAGGGAAGAAGTGGCTTTAAAGATAAATTTGCCAGAATCCCGTGTACAGGTAAGTCAAATGTATCCTCCTTCAGATTGTCTTTATTTGAAAAAAAATATGTTATTACTTATGTTATCATTTGTTGCTTTGTGGGACATACTGTATATAAATAAGAATAGATATTTTTATTCGTTGTTAAGAATTAATGAAATAATTGTTAAAAAAATATTTCTATTATAGATAAAAACAACGATATTTGGTATGTTAGTATACGACATAAATTAGGGATTGATTGACGCATTCTATTGTTTTCGGTCACTTCCTGTTTCACCGGAAGTTATTTCAACTTTTGATTTTTAAATGGCACCCTCTGGTCATTTTTTACTTTATTACTTTATTCGGTAAAAAGTGACACTCTGGATAGAATGACAAATCATATATCAACTTTTGATATTTTTGCTTAGAAGAAAATCGTGTTTTAAATTTCAATCATCTAGAGTACCATGACTGTGTTAAAAACACAAATTTTTAATCAAGGAGCCTTGGAAAATAGATTTGATCGTCTAATGTTTTTAGTGTCTTGTTCTGGCCAGTTCAAAAATGCCCGAATCGAACTTTTAATTATATCTATTTTTTTTTCAAATGGAATGAGGGTGGCTCATAAGCATATTTGGAAAAAACATTTCTTTACGAATAATTTGGTGCCACATACTTGGTATTTCGAGTCCAATTGTCGTTATTAACCGGATGTTACAATCTGAAATAAACCGTATGCGAAAATGTTGACATGTGATATGTCATTCTATTCAGGGTGTCATTTTCTATTGAATAAAGTGAAAAAATACCGTAGGTGCTATTTAAAAATCAAAAGCTTAGTCATTTCCGGTGATGGAACAGGAAGTGACCGAAAACAATTGTATACGTCATTCAATCATAATTTATTTCATATACTAACATACCAAATCTCATTTTTTGATCTAAAAAAATAAAAAAGTTATAGGGGTGAGTCACTTTTGAGACGCACCCGATATAGAAAATTTTTGAATCGAAATGCGAACAAAAATATAGAAAACAAATTACAACTGTCAAATCGATTGGTCTCATTCCAATCTTGAGGTACGGACGACCGATAGTCATCGGTACCACAAGATTGTTGAAAGAGCAAAAACACGCACTTCACTGTTAGGCAGTACGAAATTAAGGTAGTATCAGACAGAGCTACTTTTGTTGCGCAATTTTTTTGGCAGCCGCTGCAAAAGTTGCATACAGTGTTCATACACTAGCAGAAAGTAGCCCAAAACGCGCAGTTTTTATGCAGCAGCTGCCTAAAAAAAGTTGCAGGTCGACACTACATGCTTTTCGTATGTTCACACCAAAGCGCTACTTTTGCAACATATTTTGGCCGCAGCCTACCGTAAAATTCCCATTTTAGTTTTGTAGGTTTCGTCTGCTCCGCAACCTGATTTGAAACTTTTAATTTTTGAACGTTCTTTCGAATATTGTGCACGCAACGTGTGAATTTTCTTTTTTCTTTCAACGTGTGAAGTCTTCATCGGGCATATGTAATTCAGAAGAAATTTCCGAAATAGCGGCTCGTCTTTCCGTTTGGTTGTGATAGAATGGACTTTTTACGTCCCATGAACACTCCCTTGTTTCTACCGCTTCCATTAAATATTTTACTTGTTCTCTGTTCCAAATCGCTTGTTTTGACTTCGCAATTTGTCGGTTAATTCTTTACTAAATACCTACATATAAATCCTGGCGTTAACAGAAAAAAAGTGTATACATTTCGGGCATACCAAGAGAATACTGCACCTATATCCGCAGTAAAAGTTTCAACTGATTAGTAATCTTTTGCTGCGCTTGCAACCTTCCTCAATAACTGTTCACACACGGCTATTTCTTAAACTGCGCGCAACAAAAAAATAGCTTACGCAACCAAGCTGCGATCGCAACGTTGCAGGTTGCCTAGGTATTCACACTTGCAGCAGATTAAGTTGCACAGTTTTTTAATGTGCTGCGCAACAAAAGTAGCTATGTCTGATACTACCTTTAGCTATTATTATAAATGTAAGATGATAACAGTATGGTTAAAAAAAGCTATAAATACGAGGGCAGTTCTTCCTGGGGAGAATCTGAACACTTTTACAGGAACAATAATGTCGACAATATAACACCGTGATATATGTAGCAAAGCAAACAGAGGTAGGACGAGCGAGTGACGCGAGCACAATAAACTATACCGATACCGATGACAAGAAAATATCAAATTCGACCTAAACTGAAAATCAATAGAAGTCGTGCGACAACGTGCGACAAAAGGAATCCCTATAAACAGTGAAAACGAGAACGGGGCACCGCACTGACAGCTCGAACGACAGCGTAGGTTTTCTTTCTGCTGTATTGTACACAAACGAATATTCCAGCTTATAACTGAAGGGCGTTCGGATGTTAAGGGACTCTGTCCCATTCTTTTTTCCAAATTTCAAAATATAAATAGAAATGTTCGGAATGAATGAGACCAGCGACACGAATATAGACATATTTTTCGTATTTCTGAGGTTCGAGAATTGGTCTACCTGTTATTATATTATTTGAGGCTTGAGGCATTCGGTGTGTTTTGTTATAAAAGTAAGTTATTTTTGTAGCCCCATAAGCATAAGATACATGTAAAGAGAAGAAAAATAAAATACAATTTAAAAAACATTACAAGCTGCAATTTGTCTGTTCCTGGAGAAAAATTAAAGCAAAAGAAAAATTCTGAAAACTCTAAAAATAATGAATAAAAGAACAATTTAGCCAATAAAAGGAAAATAATGAACACTCTAAAATATTGAATAAAAGAACAATTTGAAAAACATAATTCCTTACAATTTGGTACTTGAAAACTAAATATAAAATGAACTAAAACTCTTTTGTGTATACTCTCACCCATCCTCTTTAATATATATAGGGAATATATTTTGTGGAGAGCTCTGGAAGACTGGGATGGAGGTATCAGTTATCAGTGTAGGAGAAGCTAAAATCAACAACTTACGATTTGCAGACGACACAACATTAATTGCGACCAGTGAAGAAGAAATGGCGAACAAGAATATTTCTGTTGCGAGTAGAAAATGAAAGTGCTGAGATGGGACTATCAACCGCCAAAAAACGAAATTAATGTCTCGTGGACAGAGGAAAAACCCTACAAAAATCTTTCCAGCTTAATGGTATCTGTGTGAAACGCATCCTCGAGTACTTTGGACACATTGCTCGAAGACCTGCCTAAAACATGGAAAAAATTATTATAACTGGTGATGTCCAAGGAAAAAGATGTAGAGGTTGTAACAAAAACTTTAAGTCAACATTTTTTTAAGTCAAAATATTGCGAACGGCTACTCTTATATCGGAGGCGGTGGGAACAAGATTTTGCTTCAGCACTTGGCTAAAAATATGATACCCACCTATACCTTACACTGCATACCAAAGGGCGCCACTTATTTCAAAAAGATTCTGATACTTACAAAGGATAGTACAAACTGAAATATGAAAATTTGTACAAGTGTATTAATTGAGTAGAAACTATAATTAGTATTGCTATTAAATATTTTGAGAAACTGGATCAACCAATGAAACAATTCAAATACCCAAAAAAATAAGATTTGTTTCTTGTTAGAAATTATTCAGTACCTATTGGCACAGCAGTTATGTACATTAGTATACAAGAAATATGTTTAAGAAACTCTGTCTTAAAACTTGTTTAAAATCAAATTATATCTTTTCAAATATTATTCAAACAATTATAATACAAAAGGAATACTTTTAGAGACGGTCTTGGTTATATTCGAATAATAAATATTTAAATTTGACTTGACTTATTATGAAGATTCATGAACCTTTTTGGTTATATATAGTTAATGGGACAAAGATTAAAATCTGTACCAAAGATTGCCCTTACAGGTCAAAGATCGTAATGATATAAAGGTTAACATAAACAGATGTTAAATCCGAATAATCAATCAATATAACATGGTTACTTTAATAATCAAATACAAGTAAAATTTAAGCAATGCTGAAGGCAAATACTTAAAGTGTTAAAAAAAATAAAATGTAACAGAACGTTAAATTTTATAAATTAAGAGTTAAAGTAATGCTGAAGGCAAGTACTTAACCAGTTAAATGTAAAATGTTAAGAATAGTTAATTTCTTAACACACTAATGATTATTTAAAATCAAATTAATAAAATTTTAGTTTACTATAAAATATATACTCGCCTTGTATACCAAATTATACTAAAAAAGAATCTTCTTAATGATAAAAAAAACATCACTGCATCCAACTTCTCTTCAGAGGGGTGCAGGGCTGAAATCTAACCGAACAGGCTGCTACTGATTAACTCGGTGATTGAAAAACTCCAAGAAAAACTTGTAGAAAAACTTCTAGACACAAGTGTAGAAAACTGTAGAAAAACGTCTCGAAAAATATCTAATAATACTTGAAGAAAAATGTACTGAAAACTCTGAAGAAAAATACGTAGAAAAACGTTGAGAAAATACGCAAAAAAACCTGAAAAGAAATGCACGGTATAAGTTTACGTTACATTTAAAAAACTTGAAAAATTTACGACGGTATTAATTTACCTCATTGTGAAGGCACACAATCAATAATTTAACATTTCTTCTCAAATATGGGTTGGACACTTCTCATCAAAAAAACTGGAATCTACAAGAAAGGCATGTAAAGGTTTTTTCTACCGAATGGAATGCCAAAGAAAATCTTACCAAAACTATAGATCCATTAAAATCCCAACAATCAAAAGTTATATGGGGCCTTCATCCATCTCTCGGATAACAAAATTACAATATTTTCCCCATATAGTGAAAAATACCAGCCAAATAAATTTTATTGAGAGATGGCACAGTGACCTCGGCAACGGCCAAATCCGAGGTGACGATTTTGACGTTTCCCGTCTTGTCGATACACCAGGGTACGATCCAATATTTTTGATAGAGAGCGTTCCGAAATTTAAGTGTTGTAGAAATGTAAAAAGAATATCGATACAATAATAAAATACTGTCTATAATAAAACAAAATAGCATTTGGAAAATGAAAATGCTACATTGTCGGTTCTCAACAAGATGGATCAAGTAAGACAAACAACGGGTCTACCCCTACACTCAGCTATCCATCGAACTGAAGGCAGATTAGCCTGGAAAAATCTTAAAAAACAAAGGATATTCTCATATAATTCACGAGCCTCCGCTATGAGGAATGATTGGAGAGGGAGAGAAAACTCTTTAAGACTATTGAACAATTTTAGTATAAAATAGGCATGTTTATTAGTTAAAAAGTACTGGATGCTAATTATCTAACATTTACATTTTGTAGCTATTGGGATATAAAAAATGAACAAACTGAACAACTAAAAAAATCTGCTTTGTGTTCAGTAGGAAGTTTCAAAGAAAATAAATAGAACTAAAAATCTTTCGTAATATATTGACTTAAATCATTTATTTTTTTGGTTAAAAATGTTATGGATATGCCAACCAATGTTAGAATATGCCAACCACTAAATCATTTTCCCTGTATTAGAACACTGAATACACTGAATAGGTTTAAAAATTGAGATTTTGCAAACCAAATAAAAGAATCTAAAATGAACGAGACTCGTTTAATATGTCTGTAGTATATTCACTCAGTAGCGTATCTTTGATAATTATTGTAGAATATTATGTTTCAAATTTTTCAAAAAATGCTTCCAAACAGGGGCCTAGTCAAAGAAAATAAAAAGCCAAAAAAAAATAAAGCCTAGTGAAAAAAAATAAAAAAATCGAATTAAAAAAATAGAGAAAATGTGTTAAGAACTTTGTTATTACAACAGAAAATCATACAAATCTACCGAAAATTCTTTATTTTTAACTCTGAGTATACCGTGTACCGTGTGGTGCATCGGAAAGCGGGACATAGGAAATACCATGTAAATTTTGAAAAGGTCAAATATTATCTACCTAGATGGTTTTATGCAAAAATTTTATTAAACTTTTTTGAAGAGGCGTTAAAGTTGTACTGTCCTCTAGAATTTCGGTTTATTTGGAATAAGCATCTAAAAGTTATTTCCAAAAATCTACCTTCAAATTACTAAAAATGTATAATAGGGTCCAGAGAAAGCTACAATTAAAATACCAGCTAAAATATGATTTTGTCATTGTCAAATTGGATGTTACATTTTTTTTGTTTACGAATAAGAATATATATTATTATTAAATATAAGAATTTCTGTGGTTTGAAAGTAGTTGTGATTTTTTTTCTGAATTGGAATGATCATCTACAAAGGAGATAGTAGCTAAACTGAGAATAGTACCTAACCTAACCTAAACTAATAACCACTTTATCATCATCAGCAGATGATTAAAATAGTTGTTTTTCGCTTAAAACAACTGTTTTATTCGTCTACTGATGGTGCTAACTGGTGAATTAGTGTTTTATTTTACACCCTGTATAACTACAATGCCTAAATTTTTAATCTACTCCCGTGTTAAGGAAAAACGTCTTTACTAGATACAAAAAATGTGTTACCTTTGATATTTTGTGTGCATTTCCAACAAAATGAGAAGCAGATTCCATTATTTTCAGAATTATAATGAAATATTGTTCCACACCAAGTGTAAAAATGACTGTTATACTGTATGATCGAAAAAATGGCATCCGGTTGGCTTGGAAAAAACGTGGGATGACATCGGGATGACATTCCCCATATAATCTTAGGTAATATAAAATGATATAGCGATCTTCATTTCGCATTCATCGCTAACGCCGTTTTTTTCATCATACAGGGTGAGTCTTAATAAATGTAAATATTTTCAGGGCTGGTAGATCTTGATATAAGAAACATATTTTCTCTTTACCGTTTTTCAAATAACTCCAAAATAACCGAGTTATTCAAGTTTGAAAATTAAAAAAAAATTGATTTATTTAAAAAAAAAATTAGAGCGACTGGAATCCCTTTTAGTGCTGTAACCATGGTAATATTATAGATAATAACAAATTATACCGTTGGAAAATTTGTGATGAATTGGCTGTTCTGAAAAGTTTTCTAAAACATACCGGAACATTTAATAGAAAATGACACGATATTCAAGATCTAATTTTTTTGCAAAAACAACTCATAGACGTGTTCCTGGAGTCGAAATATATCACCCCTGAAAATATTTGCACTTATTTAAGACTCACCCTGTATAAAAGTATCCTATTTACAATCTTTTAACCAACAAGAACTTGTTCAGCGTGTCAGATAAGGGCTTTTCGTTAACACGGCAATGGAGTTCTATGTACTTCAAATAAAATTTTAAAGGGTGGTCCACACGACAATCAACGAAATTCTCCCCTGTGAACGCCACTGTGCCCGTCCTACCAGCTCGTATACAAGGTATATCGGCGTGAAAAGTAAGGGTGTCCGACGCAGCGGGCCCACAATAGCTTGTGGGCGAAACGTGTCTCCGCATAACACTGGGAGGCTAATAAGCTAACGACCGACGACTGTAAAATTAATAGTTTCGTAAACGGCGCCCTTTTATACTCTTCGCTCGCTCGCTCGCTGATTTATTATTGTGCACTTTGTTGCCCCGCTTTTTACGGAGGTTTTATTGTCGACACACGTTCGATATATAGGTGACTCGAAGGAGAGGAATGCCTTTCCTTAAGGCGCATTTCCATTAAACCGACACAATTACATCTAGTTTTGTTTGGAAAAACATAAATAGAAATATGTTTTCAGTTTCGAAAAGTCAAATTCTACAAAATGGACTGAATTTCAAATACTACAAAACCTATGATTAGAGAATACAAGGGCATGTAACGATTTGTAGAGATTTGTGACCTTAGACGCCATTCTTTTGATGGCAAACAATGAGTCATCATCTGGTCACCAGCGACAATTTTAGCGATTTTTAATAGTTTGTGTGTAGTGAACTTTGTATAAACTGTATTACAATGGTGATTAGGTGTTCAAATTTCAATGTAAAAGCAGCAGCGATAAGAAAGAGCCAGGAGTTACGTTTCATAGGTAAATAAACAGTCCGCTCCAACTTTTTAGCGTTTTCTTAGTTTTCTTATTGAATTCGATAATTATTTTTCTGATATTATATGTACTTGATGTGTGCTATACGTCGATACTAGTTTTGTACCTTTTGTTAATATTTTAATACGTTATTTTTTCGTAATTAATTAGTATGATACCACCGTATACACCATAGGCGTAGTCAAAACATTTATCAAAAAATATAAATATCTCTTCAAACAGCTAGGTTAAGAAAAATATGTGTGCCGGCACTGTTTGGTGATATTTTCACAATTTGCTCTCGGGTGTTATTTGTCTTTGGATTCTTTAGTCATTGTAACGCCCATATACGGGCTGCAGCAGAATTTGTGACTTTAGTTAGACACAATTTTTTTAGAAGTAACGAATGAGTCATCAGCTGGCCATCAGCGACAGTTTTAGCGATTTTTAATAGTTTGTTTGTGTAGTGAAGTCTTTGTATAAACTTTATTACAATGGTAATTGGTTCAGATTTCAAGTGTAAAAGGCGCAATGATAAGAAAGAGCCAGGAGTTACGTTTCATAGGAAAATAATTTAATAACGTAATAATAACGTTTCATAGGAAAATAGGTCCACTCCTTTTTAGAGTTTTCTTAGTTTTCTTATCGAATTCGATAATTATTTTTCTGATATTATATCAGATTATATGTACTTGATATGTGCTATATGTCGAGACTAGTTTTGTACCTTTTATTAACATTTTAATGCGTTTTTTTTTTCGTAGTTAAATAGTATGATATCACCGCATACCATAGGCGTAGTGAAAACATTTATCAAAAATATAAATATTGCTTCAAGCGGCTATGTTAAGAAAAATATGTGTTACGGCATTGTTTGGAAGAATGATAACAGTTTGGTCTCGGGTGTTTTGTGTTTTTGTATTCTTTAGTCATTGTACAAAACCGAGTACAAAACGGACTGAACGAAATTCTCTGCCGTTTCGACCAAACCAATCGAATAGTTTTTATCATGTATTCTTCTCTTCACGATTTACTTATTACAATTGTGTAAATATAGGTTTAGTGGTAATCCTTCTTTAGAGCAATAATTAGAGAACTATTAGAGAACATTTGAATAATGAAAATATAATCGATGCTAACCAAATTACTCTTGTAGTGAATAAAAAGACCTGGGATGAAAGAGTTGTGAAGATAGGCAACCTAATAGGCGAATACGTGACAAGGCTGATTTGATTTCCCCTTACGTCTCAAGTGCTGTATGGTGGAGCCACCAATCGCAGGACCAACGCATAAAACACTTAGGGACTTTTTATTTTCTCTAATTCGGCCAGGGAAGGCATTTCGAGGATGGTGGGAACTGAAAGCGACAGTGTTGCCATATTAAAATGTGTAATATCTGTAATGCGTCAGACGAAAATATCTTTGCATGAGAAATGCTGCTAAGAAAACTGAACTGACCATCTAACAATTCTTTTAGACAGTGGTGTATCATGAATAAAATAAATTCTGGAACGCACATTGTCTTAAAGTCGAAAAGTTACAGAACAATTCGACTATGATTTTCCCACTTATTTTTATTAGGATTATAATTTATCATACTATTTATTGCTATTGCAGGTTTGGTTCAAAAACAGAAGGGCTAAGTGTCGTCAGCAACAGAAGCAGCATAATCAAGTTCAAAGTACGGAGAAATCTACAGCAAGGATAAAAACGAAAACTACCCCTACTGCGATGATAACAAAACCGTCTCCCACAACGCCCCCCTCTACGGGAAGTAGTAACAATAATACTAGTACTAGGTAAGCGATTTTCAGTTATATAAAGTAAAATTAATACGCGATTCGAATAAAAAGATAGTTACCTATAATGCATTTTTTATTATATTGTAATATATTACTCCTAATTGTTAATTTACTTACATTTTCTTCATTAAAAAATAATATTTTTAACAAATAAAAATGTGTCTAACTATGTCTATATCTCCATGGCGGATTCATCTCTTCAAAAAGTCCTGGTATACCTTCAATAGGTATTTCGCCACTTCCACTACTAACTAAACTACTTGGTATTCTCTTTTAAAGAAATTACAAAAATAAATGTTTCTTGTTTTTTTGTAAATATGCAAACATTTTACTTCAGTAATATAAATATTTGGGAATCATAGAAAAATTAATATTCAAATAAATGTATATATAATTATTAAAACTTTGATAATAGCCTTTTGTTTATACATAATAGGTAGCATTTCTTGTTAAAATTCTAGGTATTTCGCCACTGAAACAAATCTAAAAAACAAAGAATTTATTTAATGTAAAATACCACTATATAGATCAGTGTTTTTTATTCGTAAACAAATTTGCGTAACCAACAAAAAATCCATAACAGCGTCATACAGGGTGGTCCAATTCGGACCATGCATGGAATTAGGGATTCGAGAAACTTCGGCAGCATATTTTGCAGATCAAAGTAAGTATAAAAATTTGTATAAATGCCTTAAAATTCTTCGTTTCGAAGATACAGGATGTAGAAGTTATAGTTTTATTTCTTTTATACCTCTCCAAAACAGCTAAAAAATATGTAGCCCTATACATCGCCCACTACAAGTAGGAATTCACTGATATAGAAATCGAATTTCTCATGTCAAAAAACACCTAAACAAGTTTCATCCAAATATCGCCGTTAGCTAAGAAATTATTTGGAAAAAGTCTAAATAAAAATAAAACTTGTTCACCCTGTATCTCCGAAGCGAAGCATTTTAGGGCATAAATTTACAAACGAATTTTTTACTTATTTTTATCTGCAGAATATATTCTCAAAGCTTCCCCAATATAATTCAGGCACCCTGTATAACTAATTTTCGTTTGAATTCTACGCATTGACATTTTACAAAAAAGAAGTTTCAGTAGCGAAATACCCAGGATTTTTTTAAGGACAAGGGTATAGACATATTTATAAAATAAATAGCATAAATCACAATCTTAATAAGTGACGAATTTAAAAAAATATAAAATTATGTAATTTCTGTTTATCTATTGACTGAAAAATATGATTGTAGTAATCGTTGTTACAGTTCATCGGCTGGTTCCCCTTCAGTACACCCAGCGTCCCATCTTAGGGACAGTCCGAACTACGTCAAACCTCAAATGCTAGCTCCTTGTAGTACAACTAGTCCACCAACCGTAAGTACTTTATAGTAAATAAAATATTACCACCATTAACACACAATAATAATATTATTTAATTAAAATTTATATTTTTATAACCCTACTGGGGGTAATTTTATAGGGGTAATTCAATCTTATGTAACTGATTATTGATCTAATGTGTAGATTAGTTTTTAACATTTCTACTAATTACAAGGTTGATTTTCATGCATCCGTTCTTCGACGATACGATGATACGATATTAATTTTATTGGTTGAATTTAAAGACTTCGATTGGTTAGAAAATTACGCAATTTTTAAATTCATTGCATTTTCATGCCCCCGTTCATCAGATATACGATTTGCTTGTGATTGGTGTCATTTTATATTTTCATTTCCATAACGATTTCGCTGTTTTACTTATAGTCTAAGAGCTAGCAATGTTTTCGAGAACATTTTTTAAGAAAGTTGGTTCTTCAATATATATTTCGCTATGCTCTACTGAACATGTGATGTGTGCGGATAGTTTGGCTGCCGGTAGACGTTGCGTTCTCTACTGCGCATCATATCTGTATTCAGCATCTGTTCACTACTGCGTATCACAAATTCGCCCTGTATTTCAGGAACCAAGGAGGCTATTACTTCATAAAAAAGTAGCAAAGTAATGTGAAAATCGCATCATTGTATATCTACTAAAATGGGATACCCTGCACAAATGTGATGCACAGTAGTGAACCGCAGTAGTCTACCGACAGCCAGACGGCCTGCAATTTGGCCAGCATAGCGAAAGAGAGCATAGCAAAAAATATATTAAAGAACCAGCTTTCTTAAAAGTCTTGTTTTCCCGACGTTGCTATAGTTCTTGCAGGGCCTATTTTACCAGGCGGCCCGGGCCTTGGGCCCGGTGATCTGGGGGTCCATTAAAGGTTCTAAAATATTCATAATTTCTTGAATTTTTGAATTTTATTGGAAAAGAGGGCCCGAATTTTTGCTTGGGCCTTAGGGCCCGACCGGATGAAAAATAGACCCTGAGCTCTTGTACTATTGTATTTTTATTAATGTTAGATTAAATATGTCAAAAAAGTGCCAAACCGTCCGTTATCGTAAGATCTTTCTCCGTCGACGGGCTGGAGTAAAAAAATTACGGAGGAAAAGTGTCGCGAAAACGCTATGACTAAGCAGAGAGCCGTATCGCGTCGGGCCATCGGCATCCTATCAACGCATAACGGATGCATGAAAATCAAGCTTCGGAAAGTCAAATTTCTAGCCAGCTACCGTTAACGAAAACAACAATGTAGCCTATCAATTGTATATTTTTACACGTTGTTCTAGATTGCGTCTGCCACCTCCTCAACTTATACCAATCCAGCAAATTCCAGTATATGGTCTCCGGCATCCATAGACAGTTTCCCGATAGACCAACATCGATGGTGCGCCACAACGCAGAGCGGCATTATGACCACCACGAATTCATCGTCAAACTGTTATAATAATTATTATTATTCCAATATGGATTACCTCAGCACACCTGGAATGAGCCATTCTCAGTTTTCGGTAAGTTCGCAAAACAGATAAAAATATCTTTCTTCAATCTCATAAAAATATGGTTGGTCATATTTTACCTAAGTCAATAAATAAAAAATAGTTTCGTATGATGCGGACTTCACTGCGGCGACAAAATCTCTTTTAATAATTTGCTCCAATACATGTGCAAACAGATAGAATGGAAGAAATTGGGTATAAAATATAAATGGCGAAAACTTGAACCATCTGCGATTTGCTGATGACATTGTCTTGATATCCGATTGTGTAAATAAAGCCCAAGAAATGTTACAAAAATTGAATGCAACTTCTGAACAAATGGGACTAAAAATCAACATCCCAAAAATCCAAGTTGATGACAAACCTAGTAATTGGCGGTGGAACATATATTAACCCATATCAAATAGAAGAAACAACTGCTTACAAGTACTTGGGACACGAAATACGTATAAACCGCGATAACCAAACTTGGACGAATAGGACTGACTTGGGCCGCTTATGGACAATTGAAATACATATTCAAAGGGGCACTTCCGATATATTTGAAGAGGAAGGTATTCAATCAATGCGTACTACCTGTTCTAATGTATGGTGTGGAGACCCTAACATTAACCAAGAAAACAGTAAGCAAAATCAGAATAACGCAAAGAGCAACGAAAAGATCAATGATGGGTCTGTCTCTGAGAGACAAAGTACCGAATATCGAAGTACGAGACAGAACAAAACTCATGGATGCTATAGAGGGAATTTGAAACTTTGTAATGGAATTGGGCAGGGCACATTACAAGGCTAAACGATGACCGATGGACGAAGAAAATAATAGAATGGAGACCAAGACATGATGCATTCTGGAGCAGAGGCCGTCCTCCAACTGGATATCATGGCGCCTTAAGGCGTATCCACAATAACTGGATACAAATAGCTCAAGTTAGGGAGTTATGGAAGCAAACGAGGGAGGCCTACATCCAGCAGTGGACTTTAGTGGCTGGTTGATAATGATGATGATGCGAACTTTGATCTGTGACACTGTATAAATGTCAGATAAGAAATATCGTATGGAGCTTTTTCAGCCTTTTGTATCAAACGATTTAGTTTAATTTCCTTAAATTTTGAATACTTAAGTAGATATCTCTAAATATTCAATTATGTACGTTAATTTGAAGAAAAGAACCAAATACTTCGTAATATTAAATTTGTCTTTTAATCTTTTGCAGGAAAATGGTATAGAGTCAAGTTGGGGTAAAGGCAGGGACGAGTCTGCATGGTTATACAACAGTACCTGGGATCGAAAATGAAACATCCAGTTAACTAGTAGAAATAATAATAATAATACTCATAGATTATCTCAAGTTACCTATTTAAAAAATCCATAGTTCTTCTCACAGTTTCTTCTATCTAAACTCAGTTCATGTCTGGCTTAGTTTCTTTTCATAGAAAACACAAAAATCTGTCTAGAACTAGGTTGCCTGCAGAAGCCATAAAATGTAGCAAGAAAATTAAAACATCTTTCTTCTTGAAAATAAACTAAGGCTAGTAATTACAGGGTGTTTTAAAAAACATGTTCCATCTCTCGTGTTGATCGAAATTCCACCCATAAAAATAAGATTTATTTTTTATATCATCATAGGTCCGATTCTGCTTTGTTTCTTAGCTACAGGCAGAGATTAAAGCACAGTTTAAAGAATATAATATACGTTTAAAGAATATATTTATAAAGTATATATTCTTTAAACTGTGATTAAAGTCTTCATATTTTTCTGTTTAGGTATTATAAGTAATATTATTCTCAGTGCTTTTAGCGACTCGAATGAAATTTTGAGTGTGAAAGTTATTAAAAGTACTATATATTTTAATGCTAAAAAAAGGCTCGACAGACTCACCAGGGATGTGCATATGGGTTATCACTCGAATTTTACTCTAAAATAAAAACATGTGCGTTACTTTTATCCCTTTTGTAGATCGTTTAATGCTGTTGTCTCTTGATATTTTGTCGATTCCGATCTCCTTGATGAGATAAACGCAATTTTATTAATCACAATAAATAAAATTAAAATGAAAATAAAATTAATAAATTATTTATTTAATTTAATTATAAAATGTTATTGAAATTTATAACAGTGATGTTAAGTGCCAGCTATAGCAAATTAAAAAAAAATAATGGCATTTAAGATAATAACAAAAGACCTATTTTTTAAAACTTTTAACTTCCTGTAACTTTAGAACTATGCATTTCCGCACCCATGTTTCTAGGAACTTTTTTCATATTTTTAAGGAGGAATCAATAATTAGTTATTGAAAAGTTTGGCCAGTTAATGCCATTAAAAAAATTTAAAGGTTGCTCTTAGATTAGGATTAAGACAAATTGATAAAATTGTCTACAACAATTTTATTAATTTTAGACAATAAAATTGTCTAAAACGGTCTACACAATTTTACTAACAAGAGAAAAAAGTGAACGACACACATGTTTTTTTATAATATTATTCAAATGATAACCCATATCCAAGTTTCTAGTAAGTATGTCGAAACTTTTTATCATTAAAATATATCGCACTGATAGTAACTTTTACCCTCAAAATTTAATTCGAATCGCTATTAAAAGCACTTGAAAGAAAATTCTAACAAATCGAAAAAAAATAAGACTTTAACCTAAGGTTGCCAACTTTCAAAATAAAAAATAGAGGACGAGAAGTTAAAAAAGAGGAATAGGGGAAACAAATTTTTTGAAACTTTGCCTAAATGAACCAAATCAATACGGGACAGAACAATAGGACAGTGAGATCAAAAAGAGGATTGTCCTCTGGAATAGAGGACGGTTGGCAACCCTACCTTAACCCCTTGCAGCTACGAAATAAAGCAGAATCCGATCTATAAGTTGATATAAAAAATAAATATGATTTTTACTTGAGGAATCTCCCCACGAGAGTTGACACGTGTTTTTTGAAACATTCTCTAATCTCCTTTTAGGTGAAATTAATTCCACCGAATAAAATTTATTAAAGAAAAGTGCAAGAAAATTCATATCATTTACAGTAGAATATTGTAAATAAGCATTGTAATTGTTTTCATGTAAATATGTATTCATTGTTAGGCAGACATTTAGTTATGCAATATTATTGACAAAGCAGCAGGAATTATCTTTAAAAAATATTTAATGTTAAACCAGCATAACCCTTCTAGTATGGGTCGGTCAAGTTTGCCCCCCGTACTAGAGGAAATTCAAGAATAGATATAAAATTATTTTGCACACATTTTGCACACCATAAATGATATTTTGCACACTTACCTAAAAGAAACCGTTTTTAAAACGGAGGGCAAACTTGACCGTTCCCCCCCATCTATTACGAAATTGATTTATTTATATGTACATTGATTCGGCTAATTTTGCACAATTTTGCACACCCATTTTTAAATTTTGCACACCCTCCTGACGAAAGTTATAAAGGGTTAAACATTTGAAATTTCCCCCCCATCTGTAACTAAATTTGATTTTGTTCCAATCATATAATTTTGCACAATTTTGCACACCTGTTTTTGAATTTTGCACACCATCCTGATTAATGTTATGAGGGTTTGAAAATTTGCAATCCCCCCCTCCCCCCATCAGCTACGAAATTCAATTTTGTTTATATCAAACGAATCGGCTAATCTTGCACAATTTCGCATAGCTGTTTTTGAATTTTGCACACTCTCCTGACAAAAGTTATAAGGGTTTGAATATTTGAAATTTATCCCATTGTGTGTGAAGTGTCCCAATTAAAAAAAAAAACATAAGTATGAGTATGAGTGATGTTTCGAAAATGATAGATCTCAGCGACGTGAAAAACTGTACGGAACTCAGATTTCACCTTTTCGATAAGTTATAAGATAACCGAGATATGAGGCCCGTCGAAAAAGGGTGTCGAAAAATGCAAAATTTTCAAATTTGCCCGGTATTTCAGGAAGTAAGAGGGCTAGGACAAATCTGTGTGTAGAATCTTTAGTTTCCTAAATGTTTTTCTCTGCAAGCTATTAATTATCGAAAAGGTGAAATCTAAGTTCTCTACAGGTTTTCACGTCGCTGAGATCTATCATTTTCGAAATATGACTCATACTTATGTTTTTTTTTAAATGGGACACTTCACACACAATGCGACAAATTTCAAATATTCAAACCCTTATAACTTTTGTCAGGAGAGTGTGCAAAATTCAAAAATAGCTATGCAAAATTACAGTTGAGGGTTGGAACCTTTGGTGTTACACAGCAAAATAAAACACTAAATCACCACAATACACCAAAACACTTTTACTTTTACAATGGACGCGCGTTTAGTCGATTCGTTTGATATAAACAAAATTCAATTTCGTAACTCATTGGGGGGAAATTGCAAATTTTCAAACCTTCATAACTTTAATCAGGATGGTGTACAAAATTCAAAAACAGGTGTCTGCACTGGTGTACACTGGTGTATACGGTTACGAGTTGTTGAGGGCTGAGCCGTTTAATCTTTTTTCTTCTTTTTTATACATTTCCCTCACTATTTCTTTCTCTTTCATATTGGTACCACGGCTAAGGGTATTGCGGCGGGTTGCTGTAGGCTACCTCCGCGGAACTCAGATTTCACCTTTTCGATAAGTTATAAGATAACCGAGATATGAGGCCCTGTTCTGGACGAAGCCCACAATCCTGGGCGACTCTGGTTCTTGGCTGCAAATTGGGGCTTTAGGCTCCCGTTTGCTCCTTTTTTTCCATCATTTATTTTCTTTTCTTCATCAAATTTTTATTTTCCATCTCCTGGGTTGCACACGGTGCCTCGTTGCATCGTTTTCTTCCTGGATTTTTGTGATTTGGGATCGGTTTCTTCGCTTCCTGAATCCTTACCGTACTGATGAAGCCTGAAGGCAGTTATAGTTATATCAGTGTGCACTAGTGTAGGTGTTGTTGTGTGAGTGTGTGTGCAAAATTGTGCATTATCTGATTCGTTTGATATAAACAAAATTCAATTTAGTCACAGATGGGGGGGGAAATTAAAAATTTTCAACCCTTTATAACTTTTGTCAGGAGGGTGTACAAAATTTAAAAATAGGTGTGCAAAATTGTGCAAAATTAGCCGAATCGATGTACATAGAAATAAATCAATTTCGTTGCAGATGGGAGAAAACGGTCAAGTTTGCCTCCCGTTTAAAAATTGGTTCTGGTTTCTCTTAGGCAAGTGTGCAAAATATAATTTACGGTGTGCAAAATTGTGCAAAATGTGTGCAAAATAGTGGTATATCTATTTTTGAATTTCGTCTAGTACGGGGGGTAAACTTGACCAACCTTTCTAGTATCATCAGCAGATGATTAGAACTCGGAGTCATCTATATATTGATGATGCTCATGTGGAGTGTACTGGACATAAGAATTTTTTTGTCTAAGTTTGTCTACCCATTTTTTGGATGTCGACTCATTAGACAGATTTTATTTTTTATTTATAGCATTCCATTTGGAAAACTATAACTAAATGTATATTCTACATATTATATAGAACTATTTCGGATCACACTATATAATTATATCAAAAATCAATAATATGTATATAAGTATAATCAGAGCAACTTAACTTTCAATGCATAATGTAATGTCTGCACGGATGTGTACGAATAATGAGAGAGATTCTTAAAGATACAATATTTTTGACCAAAAAGTTATTATGATCAAGCGGGCTTAGACTTTAACGTATAGATAGATATAAAAAATCTGATGTAATTTCCTATAAAAATTGTTTTTATGTCATCTTCTAAAGAATGCTCGCCCATGGAAGATATCATTGTAGTTTGAGTCAAAAATATTATGTGGATTTATGTTAAATAACAAATTTAGTGCTCTCATTATTCAATACACTATGAGAATGTAATATATTAACAAGACCAGCAACAATAATTTTGACGAATTTAAATTTGTAAAATTTCTCTTTTAAAAAACATAAGTAAACTTTTTCTAGGATTGTGCCAATGAAATTTGTAAATGTTCATCGAAAATATCTTTGATAATTTTTATAAATATGTGTACATATCTTTTTAGTGAGTATGTGTAAAAAAGAATTCGTTAAGTGATCGTTAGTTTTAAATTTTAGATTTAAGCTCTAAAATATGATACAAGTGGCGTATAAATTTACCGATATTTTAAATTAATACCGTATGATCGAAAAAACGGCGTCCAGTTGGCTGGGAGACGACAATCTATGACATTTCCCATATAAAATGACAGCGATTTTCATTTCATAGCCATCGCTGACGCCGTTTTTTCTCGATCATACGGTATTTTTCGTTGTATTTTCAGCAAGCATTAAATATATTTTTTGTTAGTGTCATAATTAAAATTATCTGTGAATTTATATTCCTACAGATATAAAAGTTATACATATAGAAGAAAAACCGCAACTACAAATATTCTAATAGAAACACTTAGATGATCTCTGAATCTGTGAGGCCTAATCAGTATTTTTTGTAGCATCGAAAATAACATAATTTCTTATTTAGACTGGCCTATATATATAGTGAAGCGTCAAGAAATCCTCAGTTATTGTGCTATGTAGATATAAAAATACAATTTTTTTGTAAAATGTAACTACGTAGAATCTCAACGGAAACCAGGTTATCAGTGGATTTTTACTTGTAAACAAATTTACCTAAAAAACAAATAATACTTAACGTTTCAGGGTTTTTTCGTCCCCCTCTTCAGAAGCAAAAATCAAAAATAACAAAGAACAAATATCTAAATGTGACTACTTCAAAAACACTTTTCAACGCTTTTAATGGATGTATTATATGTATCTCTGTCAAAACAGTTGACAGTTTTTAACGTTGTTAAGCACTGACATTACGTAAATTCACACTTCAAATTCACAATCACTACATCAATTCAATTAACAATCACGGGAGGATCTCTGATAGTGACAATAGTATCCGTCATTTTAATTCAAAGACAAATTGTGTTTTCTGAAAATTTTTGGATGCCATCTGTCAAAATCTTCCTTGACTCGTTGGACACAGTGCTGCAACAAATTAGTATCAAAAAAGT